GTGAGCCAGAGTGGACTGGATGTCAGTGAGCTTGCTTTTTGTTGTTGTTGTTGGTGGTGAGTTACTTTCTTTTAACCCAAGCCCCCGCAGGGGTTCGTGCTCCCCACATGCCCCAGGCAGCCCCCTGGGTACCCTAGAGACTTGAACCCACCGGGCGCTGCCTGTCCTGTTGGGGCAGAGGTGTTTCTGGGGGCTCCCTTGCTGGCCAGCCTTGGAGAGGGGAGGCAGGGTTGGGTGGGGGGTGATGGAGTTTGTATCCTGGGCTGGTTCAGGCAGCTCAGAAAGGCGATGGGCATACTTCTGGGGGAGCTCCCTGTGCCCGTGCCCCGCCCCCCCTCACTGGGCTCCTCTGCGGGACAACACAGCTGAAGGGCACCGCCCCCTGTGGGAACCCCTGCTGGGAGTGGACATCTCAGAAGGGGGCACGGATGGGAACTCTGGGGCATGGGCCGGCACATTCGGTCCCTCCCTCAAGGGAAGCATGGGCACTGGCTGCAGTAGCCCGAGTGTGCCCAGTGTGGCCGGCCAGCCTGGGCCACCCCTGTAGGCCCCACCCTGAGCCCTGCCCCCTTGTCATTCTGGGTGCTGACATCCATGGTGTGCATGGGTGCTGACAGAGGCGACGGAAGGCAAGAGGTGGGCAGGTCTGCTGGCAGGTAGACCCCTCAGTCATGGGGCCAGGCTGGGGGGCACCGGCCTGGGGACCGGGGGCAGACACAGCCCTCTGTAGTTGCCCCATTGCAGTCTGGAGTCAGGAGACCTGGGTTCAAGTCTTGCTGTGTGGCTTCTGCACAGCCCTCCCCAGGTGACTTGGGACGGCAGTTCCCCCTGGTCCCCGTCCCCTGCCATGGCACCTCTCTCTGCTGGCTGTGTGGACCTGGATGCTTGAGGGCCCTGCCCATTGGAGGTGCCTGCCTTTGGGCTGAGGGCTGCACGGTCCCTGGACAGGGCCTGGACCCTGTGGCCGGGCAGGCAGCCTGGGGACCGTTGACCACAGTGGGACCTTGAAGGGGCGGAGACACGGCAAGACAGCAGGTGCCACCCCTAGATCCTAGTGACCATGTGGCCTGGCATCGGGGTTGGCCGGGTCTGTGCAGAGCTCTGTGACTTGGGTGGGTGTGGGGCCAGCAGGGTGCAAAGCACTTCTTTCCAAACCTCCGTTACTGCTTCTGCAAAAGGAAGTGGATCGAAGGGGCTCTGCGCACACCGGGAACCGAGGGGCAGCTTGGTTCTGGGCACCTCCCAGGGCAACACACCAGGAGCCTGGCCTGGTGTTTAACACCCGCCCTCGCTCTTGATGGTGCTGCTCCTACAATGGGGGTGGGGCATGCCCCGTCTCCCCTGAGCCTCACAGACTGTCCATACTGTTCACTGACAAGCTGTGGTGACAGGTGGGAAGGCTTGAGGGTTGTTTGGTGCTGGGGCGTCAGCTCCGACCCATAGCCACCCATTGTTGGACATGGGAACACCCCCGGTCCTGCCCTGTCCTCACAAGTGCCTGTGCCGGTGCCCACTGTGTCCGTCCAGCTCACTGAGGGCCATCGTCTTGTTGGTTGACCTCCGTTTTACCAAGCATGATGCCCTTCGGGGCCACGTGTGCAAAGCATGTGAGACGGAGTCTCGCCATCGGGCCTCCAAGTTGCGTCCTGGCGGCACTTTTTCCAGGACAGATCCGTCGGTCCTTTCAGCGTCCACGGCGCCTTCAGAGTTCTTCTCCAGCACCGTGGTGCAAACGCACCCGTTCTCCTTCGGTCTCCCTTGCTCAATGCCGGGCTGTCACGTGCACGGGAGGCGAGGCGAACCCCCTGGCTTGGCTCTGGTGCTCGGCACCTGTGCTCCAGCACTCAGCACGAGCGGTCTCGTACAGCAGCTCCGACCAGTGCAGGTGGTCGTCATGCGATCTCCTGGTGCTGCCTCATGGTGATGACCGTGGACCCAAGGGAAATGAAGCCTTTGGCGACATCAGTCTGCGCTTTTTACAATAGTTTTAGGGGCACGTCACCCATTACACAATTCCATAGTGCAATCGTGTCACCACAATCAATCTTAGAACATTTTCTTTTTTGTTTGTTAAATCATTTTATTGGGGGCTTGTACAACTCTTATCACAAACCATCCATCCATCCATTGTGTCAAGCACATTTGTACATTTGTTGCCATCATCATTCTCAAAACATTTTCGTTCTACTTGAGCCCTTGGTGCCAGCTCCTCATTTTTCTCCCTCCCTTCCTCCCATTCTCCCTCCTTCATGAACCGTTGGTAATTTATAAATTATTATTTTTTTCATGTCTTACACTGACAGATGTCTCTCTTCACCCACTTTTCTGTTGTCCATCCCCCAGGGGGAGGGCTATATGTTGATCATTGTGATCGGTTCCCCTCTCTCCCTCCACCTTTCCCTTACCTTCCTGGTATCGCCACTCTCATTATTGGTCCTGAGGGGTTTATCTGTCCTGGATTCCCTGTGTTTCCAGCTCTGATCTGTACCAGTGTATATACTCTGACCTAGCTGGATTTGTAAGGTAGAACGGGTCATGACAGTGGGGTGGGGGGAAGGGGAGGAAGCATTAAAGAACCAGAGGAAAGTTGTATGTCTCATTGGTG